ACGGGCACATGAACACACGGATATGTGGGCATATGGACTCATGGACACACGACTCTATGGTAAAATAGCTACATAGGCCACATGGGCACACGGGCACAGGGCTACGTGGCTGGGAATATTCTTGGAGTTTCTCCTTGCTGTGCCGTTGTTATTGAAAATGCTTTTAGTGGTCATATATCATGTTATTTGTTTTTAAAGGTTTTATTATATGTTTATATATAGGCTCGTATATTGCTTGTTTTTTCGCATTCTAAACATGGAATGATGAGTTCACAACCTTGGTCACAGGGGTAAAATCAACCCATTGTTGTCATCATCACCATTATTGTCTTCATCACCGTCATCCCAGCTATTGTCATCGCCATCATTGTTTCTTGCCAATCATCATCATGGCAATACACATTTATGATTTTTGTTTGTCATGATCTCCAGGACTCATTTGAGCCTATGCACTCTGATTTAAAACACACATCAAGAGATTCTACATGTTGATAAGCAGGTTTAATTTACGCCCATACTGGGTCTAAATATAAACCAATGCCGCGATTTTAATTGCCAACGGTATGACCAAATTAACTGCATTGTGCACGTGCTCATCAAATCTGGGAAGCTAAGCAGGATTTGAAGTTTCGTGACTGCAAGGATTCATACTCTTAGTTTTTTCGGTAAAGTCACGTGACTTTACCGAAAAAACAGAGTATAAGCTAAGCAGGGTTGAGTGTGGACAATGCTTGGATGGGGCAGCGACCACTGAAGAGGAGGTTGTCATAGGGCTTGCGGGGCTGTGTGTCTGAGCAGCAGAGGGCAGCACAGAAACATTCCGATGTTGTACTGTAGTCCTTTGTGCCCAAGTGTGCGACCGACCTTCACCAGCCCCCCACCCCCACTGACCAGCAGGGTGAAGTATGGTCATATAATCTCAAGAACTAGCACGGCACGGCGTGACCCTCATCCAGCAGTGGATTGACAAAATGGATGCACATGTACTCATACACAAAGGCAAAGGTAACCTTTATAGACTGTAGGGGCAAGTGCCCTTAGCGAGTAGCACCTAGGAAGGCCGGCACGGCGCACGAGGGGGTGGGTGGTCAGCACCACGCCTGGCCGCCTTTGGCTCCCCCGTGCTGATGTTTCCACATTGCCACAGGTACTCATTTGTGGGTGACTCAGCCAAGGGGAGGCCCATGACTGGTTCAGAAAATGCAGGAAATCATCTTTAGTGGGAATTGAACTCGGCTCGCTGAGTCCGTAGCGCAGCGCATTAACGGCTACGCACAAACATAGTATTTATTTACATGTTAAGTACTTTTTAGGCTTCGTTTTGCATTTTCAGTTTTAAGTAAGTGTTGCTCCGTGTGCACAGGCGACACTAATGCTGTGTCTAATGTCCAACATTCCCTCTCGAGTGGAGCCCCGGGAGAGCGTCAGGGGCTTGTTTGGAAGAGACGCCAAGCTGGGAGAGGGAGATCACGCCGATGCCCTCCAGGCAGCATTACGCGAGCGGTGTGACCAGGCGTCTCTGTCCCAACCCCTTCGTGTGCGGATTCCGTGTCGCAAACTTCGTGGGAAAGTCATCGGCGGTCGTCGTATGGAGAGACCCACGACCCCTGTCACGGGAACGTGGAATGTCCACCGCTGGCTCAGGGGCCCCCGTTGCTCGTTGAGGCAGGGGGACAATCTGAATTTGACGGCGTTTTTACGCCAGCGGACGTTCTTATTCGGAACAACAAAGGGAGTCCGTCGTGCTTGGATGTTACATTTGAGCTTTACGTCAGCTCCAAGTTTGCGTGTTGGGCTGCGATCAATGTGGAGGTAACCTGGCGCTTGCCGAATCGTGCTGCAGGGAATTTAGTACTGAACCTTGATCCAACATCGATTTATGTTTGCGCAATTTTTTTTTTATTTCTCACGGTGCCGCAGTTGTTTTTGTGCTGATTTCTATTCGCCTCATTGCTGCACGTCGCTTGTTTTGCTTTTGTCATTTTAGTGACCCAACTTACTGTTTTAAATTAGACTTGCACGTCTCCCGAGTTCTCACGCGATAGACAATCAACTAAACTACGTCGCCATCAGCTCCTGTCTTGTAGCTACACTTCTGAGCTGTGTGTCTGCGGCTTTCCAACACACGTTTGAAGCTTTGAAATATAATAAAAAAAGAAGACTTTTAAAAATACAGTCAGGCGCATCGCCATACCAGTGTTGTGACGTGACTGCGTTCGTGTGTGAGTAGCATTACAGTGACGCATACATCATCGCATCATCACAACGATGACATCTTCACGGTGCAATTACGGAGACATGACATCGCTGTAATGATGCTGTGAGTTTGCATACAAGTGTGATGATGCACTGTGATGATGCGATGAGTTTGCATGCAACTCATGCCATCATCACAGCGATGTGATTTCTCAGTGATTTGCGCACCTGTGCGTAACCCTAAAGTCGACTTTCTCATAACGAAGTGAGAAAATGTGTCGGATGGCCCACGAAACATGGCCGAGTTGTGTCTCCGCAGGGGGACGAGGTGTGCAATATTTACGTGGAGTTGCAGTGTGCGGAATTTCAGTGTGCGGAGTTGTAGCGTTTTCGCGCAACGCAGCGTCGCGTCGATGTCCCCGTCCGCTGGCGCACGGCGCACGGCGAGGGTGGAACGCCGAGGCAAGGGGAGGAGAGCCATGCAACATCGGAGCAGGGAGGATAAAACCCATTCCGTTCGCTCGGCACTGCAGCCAAGTAAAGTTCATGTTCCAGCGCGTCGCATGTCGACGCACGAAGCTGCACCCCACTCGTCGGAGGTCACGGACGAGCTTGACCAGGAGCCGCCCGCCTTCCTGTGCTCATCCCGCCCTTGCGTGTGCCGCGTGAACTCTCCCCGCTCGTCGTTGATAGCCGGCGCTTTACTGCGGGGTGGTGGCGAGACTCCCCCCCCCCCCCCCGACCCCTCCCCCCCTCTCCGCACCCCACTCAATTTGATTTGTAGGTAATTTCTCAAGTTTGTTTTTAATATATAAAGAGCCCCCGAGTGCAACTTTACTCCGTTCAGGCTCCAAGCCCTCATCGAGACGCCCTGGGGGGACGTGGGCACGGGGTCAGAGTGGGATACAGACCACGCCAAGCGGTGGCTGCTGTCCAATGCTAACGGCTTCCAACGCTCCGCGCGTGTTATCGTTGGAGTCGCTCTCTTCACCTGGACCAGATCCATCGCCTTAGAGAGAGAGAGAGTCCGGGTACTGTGCGCGCGATTGTTGTTCAGGGTTTCCTGTAGCCTGACACGACTGTGTCGCCTTATTCATGGAACCTCGCGGAACTCCGCACGCTCATGGGGTCGCGCAGCGCGCATCTTCGCGTGAACGTCGATCATCGGCGAGCGAGAGAGACGCCCAAGTCGGTTCAGGGTGCGTCTCCCGGCACTCCTCTGAGGGATCGTTGATAAGTTACTTTAGTTTGGCTGCTGGAGCCGTTGGCATTTTACCCGGAATCTGAAGTTTCTCATTCGTGACCCTGGCGAGACTTTGCACAGCTCTATAAATTCGCTGCTTCTGAAGGATGTTTCTCTTTGACGCGTAGCGGGCTTTTCACGACCGATATTACGATTCGTAATTTATTTTTGGAATTGGATTGCGCGAGTAAAGTGTGTGTTGTGAACACTCCTCCACCCGACACTGCCAATTAGTAATGTCACGTGGACAAACGTTCCAGCACTCCGCGCCAGTGAGCTGGAGAGAAATCCACGCACATGTAACAATTGGACATTACGCTGCTAGTTACAATCAGGTCACCAGGCAGGTGCCTTAGAAGTGTCATCTTTCACATATAGCGAAACATTACACTGATCAGGAAATACGTCCCCTACTTAATCAACAACGTATATGCGAAGCGACGCGTAATGCAGCGGAGGCTGATTCTATAATCGCCAGCACAGTTTGGCCTCTCAGTTGACGGAGAGCATCGTGCTCAAGTTTACGCAACTTGAACGAGCCCCATTGTAGTGAAGCCAGTTAAGACATGAGTGGAGTGGAGTGTAGAGTGTATGTGTGGTGTGTACGAGTGGAGTGTACGTGTGGAGTATACGTGTGGAGTGTACGTGTGCAGTGTACGTGTGGAGTGTACGTGTGGAGTGTACGTGTGGTGTGTGCCTGGCGAGTGTGTCTTAGAGTGTGTGTGGCAGTGCGGATGAGCCTAAAGAGTCACTTTGGTAGACTGAGCCCTCAACATGGCAGAGGAATCATGGAGCAAAGTCTACGGGAAAAGTAGCCATGGTAGTAGCGAGAGAAGTGTGACAGGGAAGAGATGGGCCACAACTGTAGGAGGTGACTGCAGTAGCAGTCGTCGTAGTCGCTTCGCCGTCAATAGGCCGCATCAAATGTTCCTCCAGGTGTCACGGTCCTGCACCCCCTATGCATGCATGCTGAACTTCATTCGCACCTTACGTAGACAACCTCGCCAAGTCTCCTGGATACACTTCATGTCCGCATCGTCGGGTGCGACGATGATCCGTGAGCAGCGTCGAGTCGAGTCCCCTTGAGCGGGAGAGCCCACGTGCACTCGGGTTTTGTTCCGGATCTATTCTCGACGCTGGACCGCGCGTGGGGGGTGAGGCGAGGCGAGCCGGAACACGTCCGGTCGAAGTTGAGCCGCGCGTCCAAACAGGGCCCAGACGGCGGTGTCGGGCGAGCAGGTCCTCTGCGGTGGGGGAGACCGGTGCGGGACGACGGGACCACGGGACGACGTTTGTGGCAGAGTCGGACCACCGAATCGCGATGGTGATGGGCGCGCCGTTCGCATCGCGTCCGGAGCGTCTCGAGGCCCCTCGGCGTGGGACGCTGGCAGTGCCCAGGTCCCCGGGGCGACGAAGCGCAGCCTGGCAGGGGATGCGAGAGCCGGAGATGCGTAGCTCCGTCTCCATGCCGACGCTGCCCTGTCGCCAAATGTCGTTGATGTTGTTGATGTTCAGAGAAAGAAAAAAAAATGATAGATGTTGCGTCTCGTTTCGCACGCAGGCACCTCAACAACGAGCACGCTCTGGACGATCGGAGCACGGCCCAGTGCCGGGTGCAGATGCAAGTGGTGCAGCAGTTGGAGATACAGGTGAGATTCCGCGTCAGCGTTTGCATTGCGGTGAGGGCCTGCGGCAGATGAACGCAGAAACAGATTAGCGCATGGGGGTTTGGGGCTGTGGCCCATTGCCTGTCCCTCCTTGCAAACACAATCCTCATGCTGCGGCTGCCTGGCCACTCTGCAGCCATGTTGGTATCTCTCTCTCTGCAAAGTGTGCTTTTTGAAAGAAGAAAAATCCTTCGTTAAAAACAAATCCTAATCATGACAGTGATGTTATTAATCGTAGCATTGATGTGACAGATACGTTTAAAATATTCACGAGCTATCATTCTCCTTCACGTGTTTTGGATTCGGAACAAACCTGTTTCAAACAAACCGAAAAATCGGCAAATTTCTCACACGTGTTGTTCCTCTTTCCATAATGATTTGCTGACAAGGTCAGCAGGTTTTGTTATTCATAATACTGTGCATACAAGTCACTCCAACAAAAGCCATCCTTTCAACAACAAAAAACTTCAAAACTGTTAAAAAAGGGGTCAGTGTTTGACTGACGCGTAATGAACAAAATAGGTCATCGACGCAGTCGTCATTTTAAAACGCCGCGCTGCAACCTGCGCCGCTGCTCTTTGAAACATCGAACCGCTGCGCGATGTTGTGTGCGTCCGTTACGTATACGGTCGACACTTAATTTGCCACGCGTGGGCCTCTTCACGTTGCGTTGCAGGAGACGGCCCTTTCTGTGCCCGTCACGACGGCTGTGCATTACGTTTAAGTGTCCCAGGCAATGGCGGGCAAATCAAATGTGAAAGCGACGCGCTATATATTTTGTTTCCCAAAAATAATTCAGCGGAATTTCGCCGTAAGCCCTGGAATATTTCAAGACTGACATTTTGCTGGGGACAGTTAATATTGCGGGCATAATCTAATAAAGGCACTCCCAAGGAATGACATGGCATGCTAAGCAAAAGCATATGATACACTTTAGCTCCCTGAAATATGCAATATATGCAGGGCATTTATAACTCGGAAATATTTCACATCAAAAAAATCGTGATGGCCTGGTGGCAGCAGTTAAAGGAACAACTTTGAATAAAAGAGACAAAAAATCCGTGTTCCTTTGGAGTGCTCACGGAAACAAATCCTTTACGCCATCCCCAGGGCTCGAGTTTGGTTCCTAAAAGCTTCGCTATTGGTAACTTGTGCGCATTTTTTTCCTCTTCATATTTAACATTTTGCTGACCTAAAAAAAATGCGACCAGAAAAATAATGCGGCGCAATTTGTATCTGTAACCTTTGCTAAAACACACAGCAGCCTTTGTCAGGTTGATGCAAGCCTGCCTTTCTTGAAGAAAGGCGCTATGAATAAGCAATAGCTTTCTGTAAGTAACTGTTTGTTAAAATATTTATCAGATCTGTCTTACTGGGCTTTAAAATTGCATGACGAGATGATGTTATTTGGAGCCGTACGCTATTTAGGAAAGGGGGCCTTTCAGTTTGATTTGCGTGCGCGGTGGCTGATGGCTGACGGCTGTGTTGTGCGTTGGCCCCCGCAGCTGGAGAAGGAGCGAGAGAGGCTGCAGGCCATGATGGCCCACCTCCACATGCGGCCCTCAGAACCCAGGACTCCCCTGCAGCCTGTGAGTAGCACGTCGGTCAGAGGCGAGCGCTTCTCTTGAGCCAGGCGGGCGCACAGACAGCCGGCCTATAAAACATCGTGGGGCGTCACGATCGTCGTCATCATCACACCCCCAATTAGGACGGTTGGCTTCGTAAGGTGCGAAAGAGGTTCAACGTACATCATCGCCGTCGTGGTGGCTGTCGTAATCATCATCGCCGTCGTGGTGGCTGTCGTAATCATCATCGCCGTCGTCCTCATTGTCAGTTGTCCTGCTGCTAATCGTCTTGGTCATTGTGGTGTCACGGAGTGGTATGGAGATCAGTGTCATGGTCGGCGCTGTCGAATATTACGGTGGGTGTCGTCATTGTGATGTGATAAAGTCATCACTAGATTAGTGTAATCAATCGCATCGTCGTTGTGAAGTATTGTGGGAATTATCATAATGAATCCTTGTGAGCATCAACATAAAGCCTTGTGATCGTCATAATTATGAACAAGATGTGCATTATTACCGTCGTGATTGTCAGATTAATCATCGTTATTCATCATCGACAGCATGTTGGTCATCATCAGCAAGCCATGAGATCATATTCACCAATTACTAAAATCGTTCCTACCCAATTGTGATTGTTACCATTATTGTACTCATGGCATTACTGCTCAATTAAATAACCGTGCATAGTAGAATAGTCTAAGACATTATACCGATGTGTTGTTTTAAGTCAATTTAACATCGTAATTATTTCATAAGTGAATAAATTCATGGCAAATGTAACTCAACGAGATGCTGGGTAATCAAAGGATTTTGTTGCGTTCTTAGAAATGTGTTACCTCTGGACATTCTCATACAACACAAATAAATTATAACGATCTACATTGACCAACTCATGTCTTGGTCCCATAACGTTCCAACGGTCATCCTGGATACAATGTACACCACATTTGTCAAAGGGAATTAATTTCTACAGGAAGAAAAACCTAACACACTGACCCTCATTCGACAAACTCGTAGAAACTGATGAAATCAGCATATACACACGAGGCATTATGTGCCCAACATTTTAAACATATTCTTACAATTTGCACGTGCGTGTGTAGATATTTGCATCTGTCCCCACACAATCACACACATACATCGCAATCAACGTGAAACTCTTGAACAACACACGTATAGTACAGACACCTATATTAGGTGTGAATGTACTTGTGCGTGAATATTTTCACGAAAATAATTCAATTTCCACCGACACGCCGCTGGGAAATCTTCATACTTCACCGATATTATTATTGTTGTTGTGTAGCTTTTAATAGAGAGTAGTTTAAAACGTTTGTTTTGTGGCTTCTGTGAATTGGAGATGGCTTCAGAACCCACGAAACACGACGCCGGTGCTTGCGACGTGAAGTGGCGTTACAGAATTGTGATAATCCACTCCAGTGGGTGGCTGTGCGTGGCTCGGGGAGTCATGTGACACTGGACCAATACAACCGGTGATGGTTCCTTTGAGTTCCGTGATTAAAATCCGCGTCTTCTAGTGGAGCGGGTTGATGGTCTCAGCCCGGTCAATGGTGATTGCACAAAACAACATTGAAAAAAAAACTTGTATTAAATTTGGTCTATCACTTACCTTGGCAAAATGCAATATTTGAGGATTAAAATGATCAATTTCACTGCCATGCAGTGGCCTGCCCTTGTTAAATATGGCATTCGTATAAACAACACAGACAAGTGTTATATTATTTCACAAGTCGAAATTTACTTGAAATTGCAACTGAAACTTGACTTAAGAATGAAACTTAATCATTAACGTCGACGTCACAGGAAACAGCACTTTGTGTAATTTGCTAAATAAAAAGGTCTACAGCTGTCGTGGAAATTTAACCGTCAATGGAGTGCCAACCCGTTTAATGCTGAAGCTTCTGACCACGAGGCTACAACCAGCAGACCTCTAGGAAAGCCATTCGCGTGCTCCTTACATTTATTTCACAGTTTCCCGTAGAGCCGAAACGGACTGTTGGGGCGAGTGCTGTAAGCGAGCACCTATGAAGGCCGTCACGGCACATGTGGGGGTGGGTGGCCAGCACCGCACCTGGGAGCCTTTGTCTCCCTAGCGGTGATGTTAACACACCACACCAGTATTCATTTGAGATTGAGCTGACCTATGACAGGCACAGGACCGGTTATGAATATCATCATTGGTGTTTGCCGCGAGCCGGAATCGAACTCGGGTTATCGGGTTCGTAGCGCAGCGCGCTCACAGCTGCACTATCACACCCCCGAATAACGACACGCACACACACACCATCAACACTTTCAGCAGTTCAACATGATTCAGACTGTCTCCATTCTAATTGTTGGCTGCAGATTATTCTCTTCACTGAACTAATGGGTAGTGCGTTTATTTAATTTAACCGATGACCGTTCTTAGTGGCGATTTAATGGATATTTTTTAAGGCTCCCTCCAGGAAAGTGCATTATGTTATCCGTCGTAAACACTTTCCATGACCATAAATGTTATATATTTGATGTTCATTTCTTGTATCATTGACAGGAATAATTTATTACAGTGGGAAAAATGCAGATTTCCAACAGAAGTATTTATCACTATAAACATCACTTTATATCATAGTCTAATAAACAGTGCAGTGTTGTCTTGTTTGTGTGTGTGTGTGCTTGTATGGGAGTGTGTGTGTGTATGTGGGGAGCGGTAGTGTAATAGTTAGCACACTGCGCTATGAACCTGGCGACCCGAGTTTGATTCCCACTCACGGACAACCCCAGTGACAATTATCTGAACCGGTCCTGGGCCTCCCCTAGGTCGACTCAGCTTCAAATGAATAATTGGTGCGGTGTGTAACAATTAAAAGCAGCAATCAAACGAGGCGCCCCACCGGCCTTAATAGGTGCTCGCTAACAGCACTTGCCGCAACAGTCTGTTGGAGGCTGTATGGGGGTTCTGTGTGGAGTGATGGTGCATTGGTCTGTGGAATGTCCTACAATGCAAGTATCTTGGGTTCCATTCCTGACGAAGGATAATATCAGTGGCCTGGTGATATCTGAACCTGTCCTGGGCATCTCCAGAGTTGAGTCCACTACAAAATGTATACCTGGTGCAATGTGTAAACAACAGCACGACAGAGACAAAGGTGGTCATGGTACTGGCCTCATGCTGGCCTTATTTAAGTCTTGCTAACGCTACTTTCACTTGTGGTCTATAAGGCCAAATGCTATATGTGTCTGTGTGCGGTGTATTTTTTTACTCAAAATACGAGTATCCGAAAGGATCTTCACGACATATGTTTGGCCATTTCTTATGTTTGAGTATCTTTGCTTGCTCTGGGATGGATATGAAGTTCCGAGGGAAACCCCAGACACGTGAAGGAATAACACTTAAACTTAACACAGATAGTTTCGGCAACCTTTCTTCACGTGTGTCCTCCTATATGAACGACCCTGGTATCTCATGAAGATGATGATGGAATTCCCCAGTGATCCACGAACCTTGCCTGCAAAATCACTGCTTTACAGACGTGCATCATCACCACTCCTGGCCACCAGCCCTTACGATACTGATAGAGTTTTAATTAGAAAGCAGAACTTTGCGTGTTTTTTTATGGATGCATACCGACGTACACTCCCCAAATTAATTACAATTCAGCAAGCAGCATTTCTCTGAGTGTCTGCCACCTTGCTGTTCGTCCGTTGCCACTACCGGTGTTACTGTTTCTGCAAGACACTCTCATGGTTCAATGTGTAAACAGTAGCACGAGTCACATTTCTCCTTGTTTCTCTGCTACTGCTACTAAATATTTTTTCCACGTTATTTTCCTCTTCAGGGCGAGTGTAATTGCAATTTGTTATTCGTGCTTGTCCACAACTGCCAACAAAGTGTCGCATATTCGTCATGATCTAGGTGATGAAATTGGCGTATTTATTTTTCTTCTCAGCCTTGTTTTTTTTTTACACGGCGATTTACCGCGTGCATGTGCTACGTCCTCCAGCTGTCGTGTTTGCTTGTTTAAAAACACACGCACACAACAACGCCACGTGTCACGCGTGCGATGACTCCGCCGCCGCCGAGATTGAATGTGACACTGAACTAAAGTGGCAATAGATTGTGTCTGCCATCGCTCGCACATGTCATCTGTCTGTCTTCACAAGCCTCGGTGGCAATCAGAGCTCTGTTGACTTGTTTGTGTCGCGGAGAAAGTGGGAAGCTCCACAGATCTAAACCCTGACCAGAGATGGAATTTGGCTTCATATTTGTTTCATAAGTCGCAGCGAGTGTTGTGTTGTTTTTATACACGTCTTGCTTTTTTTCCATTCAAACCCGAGCGCAGTTGGCTTTCCACGCTGCCATCCAAAGCACACACACTCGCACCACCTACAATAATAGTAAAAATAGTCCTTTTGTGTACTCATCCAGAAAAGCCTCGGCGAATCTCAAGGCTGTTTTTGAAGAGGGCCACACATTTCAACGTGCGGCCAATTATTTGCGTGCAGCTTTGAGATAAAATTACCGTATTCTCCGGATTATTGGTACTCGTGAAAGTAAAGACACGCACCACAGACTCGTCACGTGTGTCACTAAAGTTATACCAAACGTATAAGATGCACCCACACTAATGTATTTGCATTATATGAGAATGAGATAAAAATTGCTCGAAAAGTCTCTACCCATATATGGATAGTGAACAGAAACCTATATGAGGCACGTTACTCAAGTTAGATCTGTAAATGACCATAAAACCCCATTTTAACCGAATAATAGTGTAGGTCGGAAAACTGTGGACCGGTTTTGTGCGTATTAGGACCCTATTATCAGTCGGTCACGTTGGCTCAACCTATTTGTTTATGGTGGCACGAGACGAGAGAACCAACAATGAACTTCTACTTTGAAAACTCAATTCTTGAGAATTGCTTTTTGTGTTTAGTTTGCTGTCCGTCCCCCACACCTCCGATTAGCACGGTTGGCTACGTAGGGTGCGAAAGAAGTTCGACATACATACACACATGCATGC